TATCCCTTTCTCTCTCTGTCCTCTTCTTCTTTTTTAATGTCCACTTCTGCGTATGGTGTAGTAGTTGTAAATTATAATCATAAAAAAATGGCTTACGATAATAAATTATTGAGACAGAGGAGAGGATAAGACCGTGGTACGTATTCACGTGAAGAGGAAATTTGGAAATATTAAATTATAGTCTTACCTAACAAGTGTGACAAATTAATTTCGTGAGTGCATGCATGGTCTGGCTTTTTGGCCATGAAAACATGTAACAATTAATTTAAGGTCTACCTACCAACACTTTTTTTTTTTTTTTTCTTTTTTTGCAGCAATAGAAACTTTAGTGTTAGTGGGCACGATAAGGTTTTTGAGTCGTACAATTTTGACATCATATGATTAATTATGGCACAACAACATTTTGGACCAATAATTAGTGTGCTGCAGAATAAGTGCTGTTGCAAGTCATTAAATCAAACATTGATACTCGAGTTTCAATTTGATCATCTAACTTGTTTTTGAGTTATTTTGGTCCTCTAGCTATCGCATGGGTTCCAATTTAGTCTTCTTTTTCTTTAGTTTTTAGAGTATAATTGTATTCAAATTGACGGAATGACTAAATTGGAACACATGCAAGAATTAGAGGACCGAAATGACTTAAAAATGATACTCGGACAAAAGCCCAGTGTGATAAAAAAAAATTCTTAAATTTTAAACACCATGATTGATGATATCTAAGTTGGCAGAAATAATTAATAATAAAAAATGTATATTTGTGCATGACTAAATAAAAACAAAAAGAAATATATACTGGTATTGTATGACAATAATTTGATTGAATTGAATGGAGATCCATTGTGCTTTCCACTTCAACCTTTTGCTTTATTATTATCCAGATCCCGTACAAGAATGGCCCATTTGAATAAACTTTCAAAAATAGTACAAAAAAACATGTATTTATATATTTGATTAGAGGAAAGTCTAGTTATTTTCAGAGATATATGAATTGATTATGTGGGTGCAATGCAAGAACAGACAACGGATGTTAAAAGTTATAACAAAGGCAGCACACCACATTGACCAATCCACCATATTAGGTCAATGGCAATGCGCAGATAAGATTTAGATTCTCTTCCTTTGGAGCTGGGATTTCGTATTTTAATTAGGCTTATTTTGAAATTAATATAGGTTAACTTAATACGAAGAAGTATTGAATATCCAGGACCTTCTAATATACACTACTATAAAATCTTATCATAAGCCACTGATTCATGTTAGTCACAGACAACTTGTGAATGTTGGCCACATATTAAACACATGACTGTGATTGATGCGGGTTTAAGCATTGATATTAATCAAGCAACAGTTACAAATTCTTTAAATTGAAAAGTAATCAAAATTAGCCAACACAACTAGCTTAAATTTTATGGTTTGGAAATCAACATTAGCTTAACTAAGATAGATACTGGTGAATGGCAAGTAAATTATGAATGAAGTTATTATAAGGTCATTGTTCCAGAAAATAATAGACAAACCGAAACAAAAAACAAAACCCCATTTCTGGTTTGTGGTGGCCAAAACTTTTGATCGAGGTACCTTGATCATTGGTAAATGACAAATATCTGAAAACAAAAAGGGCTTGTTGGACTTGGCGCACTGTAGGAGTGGCGTGACATCTATATCCACATAAGAAGGAGCACCTGGAATTTAGACATTATAGACAATACCTTTTTCAACTTTTGGTCTTTGGTCCATTTTAGTGGGCTCATTTTGAGACACAAATGTATCAATTTTTGGCACTAAGGGGAAGCTTCTCCCCTATGTTCATTTTTTTTTAATACCAAATCGCCGTAGAAAGTCCAAACTGTCAAATAAAGTAGGGCAAATATTCAGTTATGCTAAGATACTCTCATATTATTATTCTTCTCCAATATGGAGATATTTATACAAGTACAAAGATGTGTTAACCCTAAATAAAATAGGAAATAAATCTAAATTACAATAGAAAATAAATCTAAATTACAATATGAAATAAATCTTAATTATAATTGGACTAGACAAATAGGTAAGTAACTAAAATTCTAACATAGCAAGGAACCAAAATCCTAACTAAATAAAGACTCGCCAACACAAACTGTTTGAGACTTCATCCATCATATTCATATGTCACGACACTTTGCCCCAATGTGCCAATCGTAAAGGATTTTGATCGTACCTTACTCAATAGAGCATCAATATGAAAAAGGCGAGCACGGACTAGTGCAGCCATTGCCTACATATCACCTATGTTTTTCTTTACCACAATTTCAACGAACCACCTTGAGCCATCATGCATGCCAAGTTTTCCGTGGTCAACTTCATGTGCGTGATCTTAAGATTTTGGCTTTTTCAAATTTGTGGTCAAATTTGACCCAAAAGTTAAAGTCTTTGGTGAAAATTGATATGAGGATGAAGACGAAGACGAAGACGAAGAGGAAGAGACCCAGAAGCACACCCCCAAAGACCATGGGCAGGGGCCATGGGGTTGTTTTCAGACGTTAGTTTTCCTTCCTTTCTCTTTCGTTTTTTCAATGAACATGTGTTTCGACCCAAAAAGAATAAAAATAAAAGACCATGGGCAGGGAGTGTTGGATTTTGAGTCGTATTACGACTTTGTCTGCCGTTTTTAATTTAAAATCGTCGTCAAAAGTCTTTGTATAAAATATAGACGACGACGACAGTGTGATAGCGTTGAGGTGGCCTTGCCATATACGCGCGTACGACAAACGCACAGATGGATGTGGGCTCAGACGATAGTGGGCCCAGATGGGTCTTCCCCCCGTCGCAACGCGAGGCGCGTAACGTCTAAAGCTCTCGTTCCACTCAGTAGTAGTACACAACAGATGCCATGTTATTTATTTTGAAAGATGCCATGTAATTCTTTCTACCTAATTTTTTTTACAGATGCCAATGTTATTTATTTTGAAAGATGCCAATATTCAAATTCTCGCAAAGGTGTCATTTTATTTGGCCAATTTGTATGTGTGTCATATCACAGTTCGCAAGATTTATCATCTTTAATATCTTTTCAAAATTTGACATTTCCCCATCCAACGCATTTTTATTTGTCTGCAATCAATCAAACAAATACAGTCCACATCATTGTTTTTTTTACCCAATGCAATAAAGTTATATTATATCTAATTTTTCATGGTTAAAAAGTTTATCTAAACGCTATAGAGACAAACTCTAGTTGCTAAGAGAGAGAGAAAGCTTCTGATCCGGGGGTTCCATTGAATTTTCGGTGTTTTCGACATTAGGTGAATCTATGTTGATATACTCTTCTTTTGGCAGTTCTATTATCTCAAATTTGGGTTGGCTTTGGTTGTGTCTATTGTTTCAAGGATCTTCTTTAAGGTGTTGTGGCGTGGTCATGGTATACCCACTGCTCACTAGTGCGCTGAGGTCCTAGAGTAACTAGATGACGCTCCTCTTGTCATGTTCCGAAGGAAGATTAGGCGGTTGGTTTTCCTTTTTCTGGTGTTGTTTTAGGTTTTTAAATTTAATTTAGTATGTTCAATAAATTCCAGAAACTCTATGAATTTTGTGTTTCCCCCCCTCATGATTCCAGCAACTTAGTTGAGTTTGCTGGGTGTTCTTAGTTTCTCTAGGAGAGTCATGCCGGTTAGTGGCTAGTTTTGGTTCTTGATGTCATTGGACTAGATTTGGGGAAATTATTGTGGTTGAAAGAAGTTATAGAAAAGTTATTTTCAATAGTGATTATCTCCAAATCGTTTCAACTTTTCGACTGACTTGGGTTACTAGGGAAGTTTTACCCATGTCTACCATATTGTTATTTGGATGACTTCATTTACAATATGTGTCCCTTGTACTCCTTATTCATATTGATTTAACAAAATTCTATTGCCTTTTTTCTAAAAAAATCCAGTTAAACAAATTACATAATCAAGCTTGATGTGTCCTATTTTATATTTTTTCAAATTCCTAAAATATCCTCACCCACTTGAAGTTTGACTTGCTATTTGAGTTCTTTTGAATGTTTTTTTGTCTCCATTTAAGTTGCAAAGAAAAAGTGATTGACTTCTTTTGGAGTGTGGACGATCTACAACAGTAAAAACGAGAGATCTTGGTGTACACTGATTGTCAAGTATAGTAAATATTGTTGGTTGGATAGATGAATTCTCCATCCATAAATTGGAGCATTTAGGCATGCATTTTGTACCAGCTCGAGATATATTAAAAGCTTCGGTGTGAAAGTGAGTATTAAGTATCAGAAAGAAAGTAAAGCACGAGTCAATTACCCTAGTTAATTGTAGAAAATCCAAAGCGTGGTGGAGCCATAAATTTTTAAATTTTTAAGAGAATGCGGAATATTTGAAAAGCTAAAAAATTTAAATATTACTAATTCACCGAGATTCATGATGGACAAAGTCTCTTTGAGGCATTTAGTCAAATACATGGTGGGTGCAGGCAAATGAGCAGATTCCGATATTTTCAAAGGATTTTCCTACAAGAAAATGGTGTTCACCTCCTTACTCCATAATAGGTACTCTCATACTCGATTAATTTCACAATACAAATATAATATTTTGGCTTTTTTAATTGGTCTAAGATTCTTAGTACACATTTGAAGTCTTGAATACATTTTTGGTATCTCATGTACGAACCCAAAGGCTATACGTACAACCAAATTTAGAATTTGAAGAAACAAAGTCTCTAATGTAGACACATCAACTGCACCAATGCTCCAAAATAATTTAATGAATTGTGAGTTGACCAAAAATAACAAAAAAACTGCGAATTAAATCCAAAAAAAAGAAGCAATTTCGCAGAAAGAAAGAATTGAATTACAAATAAAGATAGTTTTTAATTGTTTGGGGGTCCAGTCCAGTGCCATCTTCTTAACACGGTGTAGCACAATTCCACATGTAAAAATATCTTTTGCAGTTGAAAATAGAAAAAAATAAATAAATTGAAATGCAGAAACAGAAAGCGAAGCACGTGTTTCACTCTGAAATACTCATTCTCTGCTTATCTCATCATTTTCATTCCCCTATAAATTCATGAGAAGCATCCCCTGTTGCTCTCACTCTCTCAGCAGCAGCAGCTCAGCCCAGCCACTGAAGCGAGTACGCTGCCCAATACTCGAGGCGAGTAGCACGCAAACAATCTCCTTCCCAGAAAACCCAGAAATGAATTAAAAAGTTTACAGGTAGGTTTCCCGGTAAAACAAACCCCATCCAAAAATCAATAAATATTTTCCCAACTCTCTCTCTTTGGTCAAAAATGGAGGTGGAAACTCAGACTCAGACGCTCCCGACCTTCGACAAGCCTCCATTCTCTTCTTTCTCTCTCAACGACCTCGGTTCTCGCGACTTCCGGGGCTCCGAAATGGCCGCCGTTGACCCCAAATGCGACGCCTCACGCAACGAAGTGGTTCCGTTGACTAACGGCGGGATGATGGCGAGCGAGACTGACGCACCGGCGGACGGGTGGTCCGTGTCGACGGCCGCGGTGAAGGTTCAGAAGGTGTACCGGAGTTACCGCACCCGGCGTAGGTTAGCTGACACCGCCGTCGTGGCGGAAGAGTACTGGTGAGAGTATACCAAATCTCTGTCCTTCGTTTTATTATTATTATTTTTTTCCAACTGTTCAGCGTTCTCAAGAACAAGCACCACACACTCAAATATTAATAATTTTTTTATTTTTTGGAAATTAACTGAAAAATGAGGGGTATTTATGAATTGAAGGTGGCAAGCGATAGACTCTTGGAGATTGAATCGCACCACGATTTCATTCTTTGATAACAATACGACTGAATCTGCGACTTCAAAGTGGAACCGTGTCGGCAAGAATGCTTCCAAGGTACCAAAATTTTTTTTGTTGGAGAAATTAAAATTTTATTTCTGGGTTTGGATCAGAAAAGAAAAAGAAATTGTGGGTAATTTCTCTCTGTTGAATTTTGGTTATGAAGTGAGAGAGAAAGAGAGAGAGTGTAATAGTGTTGTGTGAAATTTTGGACTTTTGGGCAGGTGGGCAAGGGACTTTCCAAGGACGCCAAAGCACAGAAATTGGCTTTTCAGCATTGGATTGAAGCTGTAATTATTTTTCATAAATAAAATTCAATTATTTGGATTTTTTTTATACATATTTAATTATTGTTTATCATTTGGTTGTCTTTGTATTTACTGAATTGCACTTTGTGTGGGTGTGTAGATTGATCCAAGGCATAGGTATGGGCATAGCTTGCATGTCTATTATGAAGAGTGGAGTAAAGCGGATGCTGGTCAGCCATTTTTTTACTGGTAAGTAAAATTACCATCTTTTTTCCTTGGCTAAAACAAAAGGGATTAAAAAGAAAAAAGAAAAAGGTAAAAAGATTGAAGCATTTGATTACTTGCTTGGGGCCCGTTTGATAACCATTTCAATTTTAGTTTTTAGTTTTCATTTTCTATGCTACAGTATGGAGGAAAATGAAAGTGAGAATGTGAGGGAGGATTAGATTGAGAGAGAGGATGAGAGGGGAGGATGGGAGGGAGGAGCAACAAAAGTGAAAACAATTTCAAATAGATTTCAGTTTTTAGTTTTTTTTTTCACTTTTGTTACTCCTCCTCACTCTCATGTTCCCTCTCAATCTCATACTCACTTGTATTCTCCATCTTTTTCCTCAATTATTGTTTGATTTTGTGGTTTTTGTTTCTAACTTTTTTCTTTGCAGGTTGGATGTCGGAGATGGAAAAGAGCTTGATCTCAAAGAATGTCCCAGATCAAAGCTTCGACAACAATGCATCAAATATCTTGGACCTGTACGTGTTTCTATGAATCAATTCAGTATAGTTATCAAGTAAATTTTGATACATGATTTTATGAAACTTGATGTTCTTTATTTTAACCCCTTTTCTGCCGCCGTTGATGAATTTAGCAAGAGAGGGTGAATTATGAATATGATGTTGCTGAAGGGCTAATTGTTCACTCACAAACTCGAGAGCTTCTTGATACAAAGGACGGATCGCCAGGAGCTAAGTGGATATTTGTTATGAGCACCTCTAAGAAACTGTATGCTGGTGAGGTAAGAGTTGAACAACATAAGACCTTTCTTTTTTGTTTGACAAAATTCCCGTATTTGAATTCGCTGTTGTTATCCGAAACAACTAATACATTGTTGATTGTTTCCAGAAAAAGAAAGGGGTTTTCCATCATTCTAGCTTCTTGGCTGGAGGAGCAACAATAGCTGCTGGAAGGCTTGAGGTAGAGCATGGAGTTTTGAAGGTAAAACTTTTACAGTGGCCATGTTCAATCTCTAATCAAACATAAAAGAATTAACATCCACGTCCACAACCACAAGCAATATTTTGTAAGGCAAAGTTCTGATACAGTATGTTGATTTATAGTATCTGATCCTTATGCTTTCACTTTTCAGTCCATCTCTGCATATAGCGGTCATTATCGGCCAACAGATGACAGGCTTGATACCTTATTATCCTTTTTCAAGGAAAATGGAGTGAACCTTAATGAAGTTCAGGTACTCGTGCATATATGTGATTCTGCAGAGCTTTTATGATAAAATAGCAACCTAGAAAACAAAATCAGGGTTTGGCCCAATGTACCCCAGTTGAACCCTGGATTGGTCAAAACCTTGATGAGCAAGTATAATGATGGGACTACATTTAAAACGTATTTGATGCATTAATCTGCCTTTTGCTAATGGTATGTCTCAACTATTTTGTTCTCCAGATACGCAAGCCAAGTGACGAATCTGATGGCTATGATGAAGGGAAGTATAATGGTGGGACTACATTTAAACTGTCAACCAAAATTGAAGCTCCTAAACCTGAGGTTCCAGAAGTGGAGACTGAGAAATCCCAGTCCCCAGAATCCACTGAACTTCGCCAAACAGAAACGAAACCTGATTACAAAAGGACTTTATCTGGTGGTCTGCACAGTCCAAGAGCTGAGGTGCCTAAGAATAAGATATTGCAGAGGATCAACTCCAGGAACTCATCAGCGAAATCATACCAACTCGGGCACCAGCTATCGCTCAAGTGGTCAACAGGAGCTGGCCCGAGAATCGGTTGTGTTGCTGATTACCCAGTAGAGCTGAGAATGCAGGCCCTGGAGTTTGTTAACTCTCCAAGGTCTCCCCCCACACCATCCTACTACAGGAGGTTCCCTGGTCTCCCATCGCCAACGTCGAATTCCACCTCAGACGTCAATAATGGCGATAAGACCTCTGGTGATTAAACTGCGCTTATCATGATCATGATCATCATAATCAGTTTTGTGCACCTTGCCTAATGGATATTTTAGAGAATGTAAATAATTACATATCTCATCAGCTTCCTGTCAACTCAACTTTTTAGAATGGTTATTGCATTATCTTCTTACTGCCTACTGGTTGTGTGTAGTCCACTATAGTGAAAGTGGAATGTAGGTGAGCTGGGTGAAGTTTGACAATTTTCCCAAGTAGAAGCCCACTGCTTCAACTTACTATCAGATTCACAAATGCTCTTTAGAACTAAGCCTAGTGTTTTTTTGTTTAAAAATTTAGTGCTGCTGCTAGCTCATGATATACATAAATGGTCTTGGGAAATATGGAGTTCGTTCAGTAAAAGAAGTTATAAAGCATACACAGGATCATCTGCTGAAGTAAAATTCAGGTTAAAAAAAAATGAAGAAGCAATATTTCACGTTTGTATATGCAACCCGTGATCTTGTCAGAGCCAATGAAAAACTACATTCGAAAATGTAGTCAATACATGCACGCTAATCCACATTTAAGTTACTGCACAAGAAAAAAAGGGCGGAGTGGAGATCACATTAATAGTATCTAATCTATATTTATATATATATTTTATACAAATGATGTTCTATTAGTTAGACTACGGGGAGGAGTGTTCGAACTCGGAAGCAGAGGAGCGATCACATAAAAATATATATGAAATTTCGTTTGGACACTGCAATTGGGTTGAGGTTGGGGTTGGGGTTGGGCCAATGAATAACGAAATATCCCCAGTACTTGAGGAAGCTGAATGTTAGCCCAAAGCCCGACAGTGCTTTTCACCAAATTGACCCTAGACTTGAAAAAGCATGTCAGCTCAGCGCAACACAACAGCAACCAGTGGGACCCACCGGTCACAGCTGTAACCGTACCTTACCACTTCAGTTCAGCTGTCTACTCGAGCAGTAAAATCTCTGTCTTCACCGCGCGGTTAAAAAAACTCACCTTCTGGCTCCACCGTCCTCCACGTATCCACCTCGCCACCCAAAATTAACCGCATCGAGAAAGCGCAAGACAACAAAGAAATCCACGTGGAGAGCGTCCCCAAAGCCACTTGTGCGGCACCCCCCACTCCTCCCACGTGCGAGGCCACACGCGCACAATCGGCTACGGAGTGAAACGTGGCGTGCGGAGATATATGGAGGTCGATTTAGCGAAGACGTCGTGGCCTGAGGTGGCTTGACAAGTGGCACTCTCTCACAATCCTGCGCTCTTTGCTTTCGAACCAGTAACCCTCTCCCTCTCTCTCTCCTCTCTCTCTCTGTTTTTCTGTCGCGCTTCACTAGCTTACCGCGTGCTGAAGAAATAAACCAAGTACACATAACTTTCTCACGCGCAAATACACAAACACTTGCTCTGTGTTTGTTTCCTGAGCGGCAGGAGCCATGGTTTCTTCCGAACGACGGTCGTTTTCGAGCTCGACTGGCTCCACGGCGGCGGCTTCGTCGTCGTCGTCTTCATCTGGCTCTGCGACGGGCGTTTCGGTGGAGAGGTTTGGCGGCGCGTCGGATCGGATGGTGAAGGAGGAGCTCGAGGCGGCAGAGGCGCTCGCGGATTTGGCGCATTTGGCGATGCGGGAGAGTAGCGGCGCTGAATCCGCGGGGAATTGGGGACTGAAAGGGAAGCGGGCCAAGAAGCGAGTCAAGAGCGAGTCTCCTCCGGGTCATTCGGGTTTGAATCCGGTTGACCCTGTTCCCACCTGTCCGGATCTTCCTCAGGTTTGTTTCTGTGAATGGTTTTTTTAAAAAAAATTTAGCACTGTTATTGTCATTATACTTATATGATTATCGAGATATTTTATGTATCCATTTTAAAAAGAGACTTTTTATTTGTTGGATAATAAAAGAAAAGAGTACCAGAAGAAAGAAAATGGTTGGGATTGGCCAAAATGAGTAATTTTACTTGAATGGGAAAAATTCGAAGATTCGGCTGAGTGAATGCTTTATGAAACAAACAATGGACTTATTGGAGGAGGAATGGCTCCTTACCCATTTGGGGTTGTTTCAGAGAAAATAAAGTAAACAACTTTGGGATTGGGTGATAGCATTGTCACCATTTAGTCTTATGCATTGATTCTAAGTTCAAAAAAAGTAAAATGTTTTCAAAGTAAGCTCACCCTTTTTTAGAAAAGAATTGTAGTGGTTGATAAGCACGTTTATATCAACTTATTTTTGAACTTTCTGAGCATTGAAGGCTCGATCCAAATGCGAATTTTTGGTAGTTCAGTCACCAAACGAACACTGGGGCAGCCAACGAAGGCTCAGGAGTGTCACTTGACCCTTCTCAACTTTCAAATTTGGTCATAATTCATATATGTATTTTGATTTTTATATATTCTATCCTTAGTTTTGACCCTTCTAGTCCATGTGCAAAACCAAACAAGTGAACATTTATCAATTTTCTTTTGAGTAAACACCTTGGCTTATCTATGCAGTTTATTTATACTTATTTTCTTTTTGGCTTATTGTATGTTATGAGTTGTTTATTGGTGACTCTTTTAAAATGTCAAATTATGAATATTGTAGTTTATAAGAATCCAACGAGATTTCTAATGATTTATGAATCAATACAAAGAATTTTATGTTATTAGATGAGTTTATTATGTTTTTCTTTAAACTTATAGCTATTTAAGCTTGAACCCCCATGACAATGTTTCCGACTCCACCCAATCCAAGCAACAAGACAATAAATTTTAAACATCGATATAAATGTAACCATTTGAATGCATATATGACCAGAATTTAATGATATTAACGTCAGGATAGGAGACAAACGACGTACATGGTAATGGGGCCGAGTCCATGGCTGGTTTGGCTAGAATCCTTTTTCAAGTATGCAAATTACATCACCATTTGGATTTGTCTAAATATGGTTAGCCAGTCCAATGATATTTGAGTAAAATTATGTGAAGTGCGTCAAATTTACAACGGGGGAGGGTGTGGTAGTCTGTTAAATGGTGACGTCAATACTCCAGTCCAAAATAAGTTTATGGACAAATGTACTAAAAACTTATGCTACCCAATCTCCCAAATAAAACGGGCTCTGTCACCAAATCACACTGTTTTCTGCAGGACTTGATAATTTTTTTTATTTTTATTTTATTTTTTATATAGCAGGACCAAGCAGTAACAGGTCTGCGGCAATGTGAAACGGTTTGCACAAATGTTGTAACAGAGCCGCTGAAGACCAAGCAGGTTCTGAGTAATGAGATTGTGAAGGCTGAGCATGATGCTGAAGTAACAAAATTAAGTCCAATTTGCACTACAAGTTACCCATCATTCAGTTGCAGCAAGTCAAGGCGGAATTTAACTGAGGTACTGAGCTTTTAAACTTCTTCCCTCTAAAGTGATGTTCTGTGACTACTTTTTCTTTTCTAGTTTTAATTATTGTTTACCTTGTTCAGGAGGAGAAGGAAGAGCGGAGAATACGCAGAATTTTGGCCAACAGAGAGTCAGCCAGGCAGACAATTCGTCGGAGGCAGGTAAGCTGATGTTACTCTACTTATTGCATATCAATATATATATTTTTTTTCCAGGAGTGTTTAAGAGGGATGGGGAGGAAATTTTATGACTACCAATATTTTCTATATATATACTCAATATGGTAAAGGTTGCATTTGTTCCTTGTATTTAATTCAAGTCTGTTGACGTCATTGTGTCTTCATTTTATCAAATGGTCAACACCGAGAACAAGGTTCTGCTAGATAGGTATCACTATTTTATGGCTTGGAAAATTGTGAAAGCATGTTGACACTACAGGCAACAGGAGTATGGATTCAATTCCCTATACAAGCTTTTGATCGGTGATTAGGTTATACCAGTTATGCTATACAAAACCATTTTATGTGCTTCCGTAATGTATCTACTCCTGTTCTAGGATCCTGAGATTATTTTTTGTCTTTTTTTGGGGGGGGGGCTCTGTGGTTGTTATTCTACCCCGTCCTATACTAATCATTTATCACAATTGAGGGCCTCCTTGCATTTTGCAGTGTCAGGAATAACTAAATGATATGAGTGTGTGTATATGTGCTTTTGTAGAATAACATATTGGATTGTAGCTGCTGTTCAAGTAATGGCTATCCTAACCATAATATGACACTGCACCATGTGTCACTGAGGTAGTAAATTAAATGAGTCACAAAGTGAATTGTTTTTTGTCACTTTATCTTTTCCTTTTTAAAAACAATAGATCTTCATGAGTTGTGTTTGTTATTCTCAAATTGCATGGTATGTGTCCAGTGCAGATTGCATTCTTGGCTATCGGACATTTAGACTTTAGCAAATTATGCTTCTTTCCTTGTTCTACAGGCTCTGTGTGAGGAGTTAACCAGAAAAGCTGCTGATCTGGCATTGGAGAATGAAAATTTAAAAAAGGTAGGCATTAGTCCCCAATCATTTCTTATAAACTTGCTTTTCTTTCAACTCTTATCTCTCTCTCTCTCTCTCTCACATCATGACAATACTAACTTTATTCACATTTTTGGTGGCTTTTTAAATGAGAAGAAAAAGGAGTTGGCCTTAAAGGAGTGTCAGTCTTTGGAGAAAACAAATAAGCACTTGAAAGTTCAGGTAAGATATGCCTGACATTGAAGAGATGTTTAACCTTAATAAAATCTCTCATGCTTGACATGCTCTCTCATTTTGCAGATGGCTAAGGTGATAAAGGCAGAGGTTGAGGAAACGCCAGGTGAAAATATGTCAGCCTATGTGCAGATGCAGATACCTCCTTCACCTAGTAATTCCCCATTATTCTTGTTTAACCGTCCACCATTTACACCAGTGTTTTGGCCTTCTGTCATTCAGTCTTCAAATTCCATTCAGTTGCAACATGTATCACAAAATCCAATGGCCATTCCATCAAACATCCCTTTGCCGGCTAATGGTACAGCTGATTCTTCTCATGAACAAGAAAACCCCTTGACCAATAATGGAACAAGAACTCCTTTATATGTATTTCCGTGTCCTTGGTTCATCCCTCATTTTGATAATGGGAATGGACTCCAACCCCAGCCCTCCTCGTGCCTGAACAATAAACAAGAAGAAACTTCTTTTAATAACCAGTACAGTGCCAGTTCATCTTCAAGAACTGTTGCACAGTTAGACAACCACCATTGCTCTTTCCCTATTAGATTAAAAGCAGAAGCTTCTGGCTCAATGGAAGCCAGACTGTCAAATGATCTTAATGAAACGCCAGCTCAGTTTCCTCTGGATGGAGCCGATCAGCATACAGGACCTCATCCCAAGGAAAATGGTCCTAAGGAGATATTCCTTACTCCTGCATCAGTAAACCATGAAGGAGTTGCATCTAGTATCAAGCATGAGAATGAGTTTGAATCAGATTACACCACAACAACTGAAAAATCTTTTCATATGTTCTCTGCCTTGCCAGAGAAGAATAGTGAACCAATCATCTACCCTAACAGGAAACTGGCGGATGCAATTGCTGCAGCTGAGGCGAGAAAGAGGAGGAAGAAACTCACAAAGCTAAAGAATCTTCATGGCCGGCAGTGTCGGGCGCACTGTTGAGCTTTAAAACCCAAGTGCGGGTTAAGAGATTCTCTCCTGGTTTTCATGCAAGTCCTTTTATTTTAAGGACTTCTTGGAGATTGAGTCAAGAGCAGATCACCTAACCTTAATTATAGAAGGTTATTGAGTCATTGACAGAAAAGATGTGTGCCTATAATTTAGGTACATCTTTAAGGCCTTTACTTTTACTTTATATGTTGTTTCGAGGTGTGGACGAAAACTGGAAATTTTGTACTGCCTGATCAATATGTATGGGTAGCTTTTCATTATCAAATCATGGAGAAGCAAATGGTAGTGGTAGTTTGAGAAAGCATAATTTTCAAGAATGCCTGATCATTGGGAATCATAATGAGGAAATGAATGGTGTCTTTAACAAACCAGTCTTGCGGTTTCTGCTATGCCTAGGGTTAGTCAAGGCAGCAGCACTCAAAAGAGGAGTGAAGGTAAGAACCCGAAATTTAATTTTGACAGTTGTTTTGTAAGTTTGTGATGTGAGTTGCAAATACTTCTTGCAGGAAATCAATAAAACTGAGTTTGAGATGCTGGTTAATAAATCCAGTTCCTTCGTGCCTTCTGCAATTCTGTCTAATCTTACACAGGAAATTATTTCTTAAATTCTTTGGCAAAATTATGTTTTTCTCAGTGACTATATGGTTGGTTGCCGTAGCAATTCCCTGCCAATACCAAGCGTAGTTTAACTTGATGGATGGATCCTAACTGTTAGCATGCATATGGACAGTATACGTATCTGAAATCGCAAGAAACAGTCTCATGATAACCAAATGTTTATTTACAGGGGACAAATGGAAACTAATAGGAAAAAGAAAAGAAAATGTTGGTGAAAGAAACCTAACTGGGATCCTTGTAGAGTATGATCGGGCTCCTAACACTGTGTTTATGATCATCCCACTCAAGAAAAGCAGACACAGGCACCCCAGCAGTTAGTGTGCCACCACTCACCACAACCTTAAAAGACCTCTTCTGATGCGACCGGGTGAATTTCAAGGTACTTGGTGTGACTGTTACAGAAAAGAACTTTGGCATAATCAGCTTTACTTTGTACACTGAGTTACCATACCCTACGTTCGTTACTCTTCTATAGAAGACAGCTTTAACTGAAGCGTCATTTGCTTCTTGATGAAAATGCATGCTTGGATAGTTGAGGCCGTCTGTGCCTCGAGGAGGCTTGTAGTCAGAGCAGCTAATGTTCTTTTTGCCTCCAACAAGTATGCCAATGTTGGTGCTGTTGTAGCCTTGCTTGCACAAGAAGCTGATATAGTCATCCACTGTGATGTCATAGATGAGCCCGGGATGCGCTGCCTTTTTCGGGTTTATTTGTCCTGCTCCCGTTCCTAGTGTGTTGCCTCCAACTCGGGTATTAATTGGTGTGGCTAAACCAGAGGGAGTGAAAAGATTGGTTAAGTCGTTGTTTGATGAACTTGATTTTCATAAAGTGTGGTTTGGGAAGACTAACCGGTTGTCATGAGAGCGGACTTGATGGCAGCGGGTGACCAGTCTGGGTGGAAGGACTTGACATAAGCAGCGGCAGCGGTTACATGAGGGCAAGCCATGGATGTACCAGACATCATATTGAACAAGCTGAACCGCTTGTCTTCTGGGTCACCAGATATGGATGCCAGACGTGAATATGCCGCTAATATGTTTATCCCTGGTGCTGAAATATCAGGCTGTACATGAAAATTTAGTACCTACTTGTTGTGGAGAGAGAGAGAGAGAGAGAGAGAGAGAGAGAGAGAGCATCTTATGTACCTTGAGGATACTGGGGGTTATCCGTTGAGGTCCTCTGGATGAGAAAGAAGCAATGTTGGGGGCGTCTGGAGTTTTGACGGTTCTTGTTTTGTATATGACAGCCCTAGGGTTCCTGCAATTAGTTCATACCAAGCCATAAAGCAGCTTAGTGTTCAATAAAAACAGTTCCTCATGATAAGAAGTCTTCTTAAATTGAAAAGAGAAAAAAAAAAACACAGCTCTTAATAAGCTGCACAAAGATCATACTTGGTAGAGTTAATATACTGATCAATCTTTATCCCATCCTTGACAAGGATACCAGTACCGGGGATCACCGGAGAAAAGGCATAATCTTCCAATTCATACTGTGTCATGAGAGTTCCGGCACCCTGCAATCTTTGGATGGTGAAATCCTGGCCACTAGACCCTAGGCAGTACACAATCCTTCCCTTCACCTTGTCCGCGTTTAAAGTAGAACTCTCACAAGCACTGCCATAATCTCCAAATTAATTTATCATTAGGATATTATTATCCAAATGCATTTGTCAAAGTTCTAACAAATATTCAAAGTTTTTTTTAATTTCTTTGTATAAGCCCCGCATATGCGTTGTCCTTCTCACAATATATATGTAGATCATCTTGTATATATAATGATAGGTTGTTCCACATACAAATTGTGAGAGGAACGTCACATGTGACGGACTTCTATCAACACAATAATTGTGCCGAAACACAGACCTTGCATTTCCATAGCTGTTTTCACTCTTGTTGGATGCCAGGGTTCCACTTGTAAGAGGATACATTTGTTTCTTTAATGTGTAGGTATTGAGTGCATTCCCCTATCAATAAAAGAACAATGCAGTTAACTCAGTATAATTCTCTATTCTGTGAGAGAGAGAGAGAATTGTATTAGCAGCCACTGTGGTAACCCATGGTGCTACATTCTGGACAGTGCCTTCACTAGGCCCATCATTCCCAGCTGAGCATGAAACAAAAATCCTTTTTTTCATGGCATGAAATGATCCAATGGCAATAGGATCTTCCCAAAAACTCCTCGAGGGACCGCCTATGGAGATGGATATCAAGTCCACTCCATCAGCAATGGCTTCATCGAACGCAGCCAGCATATCGATATCACTGCAGCCAGTAGAGGGCCAGCACACTTTGTACACAGCGATACGCGACAGGGGCGCGCCACCGCGTGCAGTCCCTTTTGCAATGCCGTATACACTGGCTCCTTGGACGGGTGTACCAGCAATGGTGGAGGCAGTGTGACTGCCATGACCTTCATCGTCGACTGGACTTAATTTGCCTGACCAAGGATTGTTGGAGTTCAGATTAAAATATTTGGTACCAATTACCTTGCTGCACAAGAAAGGGCAAAAAGTCAAAGTTCTCATCAATCATTAAAATTATGAGACTGTTCATAGATTAATTTCACATATGCTTGTACTATTTGATCTTAGGCACAAAACCCAAACTTGCAATGAAATTATGTTGTGTGTGAGAGAGAGACATACTTGTTGCAGCCTTTGAAGTTGTCACCCTTGACACATTTGCCTTTCCATTTAGATGGGGGAGGCCCATAACCTGTATCATTGAAACTGGGACCATCCAAGTAAATTCCTACAATACACAGAAAATAAAAGGTTCATCAATTTCTTTGCTTCACTGTTGTCCTGCAATAAGAGTGACAGATTTTACCAACCTGTATCCAAAACACCCACTATGATATTGCTCTGTATTTGAGCGTTCCCTTTCTTTAATTTTTTGGGCAGTCCTAGGAAATCCCATGACCTTGTTGTATGTAGTTTGCGCATAGTGTTTGGAAACACTGATACAACACTATCTTCCTCTACAAATTAATGAAAAATCATAAAGATCAAAAGCCAAGTGTCTAAAATTCTGGTAATTAGAATTCTACTAAGGCAAGTACGTACGTGTGTGTATGTGCACGCGCTCGAGGGCACGTGTGTGAATTTATTTATTTTCTTTTTCTATGCACCTGCTAGTGCCTTTGCTTCATGTGGCAACAATCTTGCCGCGAACCCATTGAAGGTCCTTCCATAGCTATGAATTCTTGATGCTCTGGCTATTTCTTCACTGAAATATAAAAGCACATTATTGGTCAAGTATAATATTTGTCTCGCTGGGATGTATTGATGACCTTTGGGAACAAACGCTGCTCAGAGCTCACTGATACCGACGAGATTAAACTACAAATGTATACAAAAACTTTGAAAATTAATGGTAGGAAGAAACTGGCCATTACTCTCCGATTGCTTGCACTAGCAGGTTATGGTGTCTGGCCATGGCGGAAGTTTCTGCTCCTGGCAGTTCTCCCATGTACACAATGTAAGGCTGTTACAGTACAATGCCACGTCACTTTGTCAATAACAATGTAATTTGTAAAAGTATTTTCTTTCGAGACAGTCTTACATGCTATGTTATACTACCGATTAAAACCGTTAATTAGGTCATATCACATAGGAATAAGCATATGATCTTGATTGAAAGTCTGACAAGTGACGAAAGCAATGGAAAATTTATCGTCTGGAACGTACCTTCCTAGCATCGAAACCATCCTGAGTTGTTTCTTGAGCCGACGTAGCTACAACATAGAGTACAATCACTAGTAGATTTTGTAACATCCTCATTGTATTGCAATTTGGAAAGAGCTCACTCTCACTCTCACTCTCACTCTCACAACACACACATGTGAAAGGAGTGTTGTTTAGCTATAAATAGAGGAAGTGGAAAGAGCTTCATGAGTGACAGTGCCTCTTCTTAATGCATGCAGCAGCCTCTCTCTCTCTCTCTCTCTCTCTCTCTCTGTGCGCAAAATAAGGTGAGAGAGTGATGGTTTGACTGTTGAACAAGGAAACAGAGTCTTGAGTCCACGGATGAGAATTTGGCGGCTTGGATTTTGGATCCTCTTAGAAATAGGAGGCAGGTAGGTGGCTAGGTTGATCATATAGAAACGTGAATGCAACACTCATATTAAACTGGCGACTCGTTCACAAATTACTGTCGCGTCCTTGAAGTGTGACAATTTTCAAGGTTTTGAGTTGAACAGAAGGTTATGCTAACAACTTTTATTTTCCCTTTAATGCCGCTTACGAAAATAATTAACGAAAATGCGTTAACACAACCACCCTCCTAACTAAGATTAATACTGATCATGTGATTTATGGAATGTACTCCTTTAAGCACTTCATTTGCTCAACTGACAACTTATCTATACTTCTTCCAGCCATATATGTTCTTGGTCCTCAAAGCACATACGGAAAAAAGGTACTTGTCCCAAGAGATAAACTAACAGCTCTAAACAATTGGTTACATTTTTTCTTTCTTCCATAAGTTACTTTCATAATCTCTTTTGCTATTTCGTTAAATCTGGTGATACAAGAGAGAACTATTATTTCCTTTATTTTTTAACAAGTTACAACCATCATTCGGCTGGAAACTCTAGGATAATGCTCAGATGTCCCATAATGCTTTTTCGTTAAATTGGCCGCCTTTGAATCTCATCTCTTCGTTGTCAACCTGCCCAATTGAACATAAATAGGGGCTTAAAAGAACAAGAATGTACAAGAAACTTGGCTTCTCATCTCTTCATTGCCCATGCTTTTTCAGTGTCAGACAAAACAATCTCTTGACAACGAACAAGTCCGGCTGCCCCTCCATAGCACAACCATCTCTCACTACCTTTGTTCATGTTCCACCTCACTCTATGCATTGCTACTATTTTGTTAGGAAAGATTTCAAGCTCTTTCCCGGCTTCTTCTTCCTGAGTATTAATCGGCTCTTCATCTATGCATGCCAAATCCTGGTGATCATTTGGCTTTTTCTTACTAGACCTAGGTTTCTGTTTCTTTTTGCTTTCCGGAGAAGCCACCCCAATTTCTTCCTCCAGAGTATTAGTTGGCTCTTCTTCACCTATGCATACCAATCCTCGGCCATCATTTGGATTTTTCTTGCTAGACCTAGATTTTTGTGTCTTCTTACTTTTGAGAGAAGCCACCCCAGTTTCCTCATCCTGAGTATTAGTCGGCTCTTCATCTATGGATACCAATGCTAGGTCATCTGGTTTTTTCTTACTAAACCTAGACTTCTGTGTTTTTCTGCTTCTGACAGAAGCCACTTTTTCCCCAATTTCTTGTTCCTGGGTACTAGTCGGCTCTTCATCTACGCATATCAATGCTAGGTCATCCTCTGGCATTGTCTCACTAGACCCAGATTTCTGTGTTTTTTTTCTTTTGAGCGATGCCACTTTTTCCCCATATTCCGATTGGATATCCGGATCAACACCATAACAAAGAGCTGCAACAAGAGACAGTTTGATGAACGTTCTAAAATAAAGATAAGAAATGAACATAGGGTGCTTAAAGAAAATGTCTGGGGTTACCTAAAGTTTGATCTTCAGATGCACTATCTTTTGCCATCTTATCATTTGCACTTTTCACCTTGTTTGACTCAGGGTTATTACGAACGACCTTCAATGGGAAAGGGGTGTTTGATACTGTAGTATTGATGGTTACAGCAGATTCCTCCATTGTCAGTGACACACACAGAAAATGTGGGGCCCGGTGTCGTCTAGGATCTTTCTCCACAGATTTGGACGTAAGCTGATTGTAAAAATAAATAAATAACAATTGAGTATATAACATGGAGTTTTTGTATCAATTTAGAAATCCTAGAAATCCTAGCATCAGCCTTAGCAATGAAAATAAAAAGGTCCAAGCATCAGGCACAAAGCATGAATTTTTGAGAACAAAAAACTTGACTGCACAGCTGGAGGACAAGCAAGCACCTGCTGGATTCATCATTAGTGCGACTCGCTAGTAAGATATAAAGAAAACGTTTGACCATCTAAAGGACAAGTTTGGTAAGTATATCCCGAAAATGCCCCCACTCTCCATGACCAAACATAAGTAAACCTATCAGTGAAAAAACCTACAATAATCTAAACTCTTTAACAAAGTAGATCCTTTGAAAGAAAAAGTTATTTGATGTGCCCCGTAAAGTTTAGACTCATAGAAGTCATGCACGTATCTAGAACTTAAGATTTTCCCTCCAGGAATGAAAAATGATTCTACAACAAAGATAAGGAGTAAGTCTGATATCAATGGCAAGTTAAAAGCTAAAACTCACCTGGAAGCGGAGAACAGTTCCGTCTGCACCACAATATGCAGCCATACCTAAAGTTTTGAAAGTGAAATGATCCATTAATGGTTATTACAAAATGCTGGTCTCAAGAGTTACACAGGTTGATCAACTTTGCACAGAACTGTATTCCAAAGTGGATCAATCATAAAATCCCACCACTATAAAGGTCAATCAAGGAGAATATATCCCCCACAAACTTCCTCCAATAAAAAGTACCATGCAACCATTACAGATATATGAGTAGCACGCAGCGTTCTTTAAAATTTAAGGTCAATGATTTAATATTCTAGTCAGACAGGAGACTAAAGCACCAACGAGAAAGAGGAATTTCTGAATATTCAGTAGCACTATTCCAAAGAAAATTAAGAAGTTAAAGGCCAATCCTTATGCAGTTCCAATCACATGAAGAATAACAAACAAGGAAAAGAACCAGACACTACTTCTTTATTTCTATCAAATCATCATGTACAGTATGCTTATGTAAATAAAGCAGTCAAGGAGACTATTAAACATGAGGGATCCATATAACATATCCAGATTTTTATTTTTTTTTCCTTTGACAACTTGTGTTTGGAGTATGGAAAATCTAGGTCTACTATGTATTGTTTTACTCTTATAGTTGACTCTTATAGCACTAAACTTAGCACCAGGTCGGAGATGGTAATGCCATTTGCCATTAGGCTATAATGGTATTAACATGCACATATTTGTAATTAGCCGAAATACTACTGCACATAGATAGATAAGCACAAGGAAGACCTGTTAGTCGTGATACATGAACACTCCAGATAGCAAAAGGCAAACAACTAAGATTATGCAGGCCCGGTTGTTTTGTTCCAGCCATTCCTGTTACCGGGTCATCAGATGCAGCCTTCACCAAGCTGATAACTTTCATTGTTCCATCATCAAAGGATAAAATAACACACCTACAAGAAAAACACAACACTTCACTAAAATTTCACCAACCAGACAGCTATATTTATGTTCCACAGAGAGATTATGAGTACCTTGGATCTGGAAGCCAATCTAGACTATATATGAACTTTGGTAAATGATCAAGGTCCCACAAGGGACGGAATGGATCACTGCAAAAGCAAGAGTTATAGTTCTTAGTATGAAATGCAATTTCCACTGAAAAACCACAAGCATTTTTAGCTAACAGTAAAGGAGCTGCATGTACACAAGAGTGTTAGCAAAAAATAGGCATTGTACTTACCGCAGGTCCCAAAATTTTAGGCCTCCATGTCCAGCTGTAGCTATAACATTTGCGCCCTCTGAATAGCTGCAAACCATTGCATTTAACATATCTCAGTGAATGAGAAAAATAACATTTAGTAAAATAAAAATATGAAAGAGTCTGAAATAGAAATCTCTAAGCCTAAATATCATAATTTAGTGACAAGACAACCATTAACACCCCCACCATCTCCAAACTTAAAAAGCAGACTGTAAAGTGACATAGAAAGTAAGATATAAAATTGATCTCCGACATAGCTAACCTGTCAACCGGGGCCCAAGCAAGTGACCTAATAGGATTTGTATCTGCACTGAAGCAAAGTAAAGGCCTTGTATCTGCAGAACAACAAGTAGATAATTGAAGCAAACCTTAGTTTACTAACTTTACTTATTTATCAATTTTATGTCAGAAGTCCAGGACAGATGTAAACCATATCTACATCTTTTACATTCTATGTTACCCTTACCTTGAGATGCATTACTTGCTGAAAACTTCCATAAAGCAACCTGAAATATGGAAAAAAAATTCTTCAGTTATGATACAACAAAACACAAAATAACAAGCCACCAAAGGAGGATCATTTCAACTGAACGCTCAGTGGGATGAAGCTGAGAAAAACTAGCAGATAGCAGAATGAATACATGAAGTGCTTAGTATGTATCCTTCTATCAGATTGCAGAAGAAACACAAAGTGTTGACCATTGAGTATTTGTCCTATGGAAACCCTCTATGAAGTTAACATGAATTCTTATTTGAAACTGCACAAAAGCATGATAAAGTCTTCAAGGAAAATATATTAAAATAAAATTAAAGAACGAAGTGCAGGAAAATTACAGTTCCATCATGACATCCGGCAAGTAAGTAATCATGAGCTGGCGAAGCTGACCATTCCACAGTAAGAGGGATACTGTTCAAGAAAGGATCTTAAATTACCAATGAATCATATAAATTTGCATAACATGGTCAAAAGAGACATCTTGGTACCAAATGAAAAATCTCCATGAATGATTTTGTGCCTACGGAAAAATCTCCAAATTATTGCCTAAAAGTAGAAACTATCAGAGTACCTCTTTTCACTGCCACACTTCAACATTGGGCATCTGAAAACTGGTGCTAATTTTATAAAGCGAGGATCTGTGCCCTCACGACAAGAAGAAGAAGAATAAATAACTTCAACTGCATGAGGAAGAGGAACATCCCACCTGCAGTTTAAAAAGGCAAGGATAAGTGTCATGAGATTGCAGAACAAAAACAACTGTCAATGTAACATGCTTACACCATTTATCTAGTGTGAAGTTACCACAAACTAGCTAAATATCAACTGCATTTCATACTATTAGTTGTGTATCATGCTTTGCTTCATATTTTCAGCACATCTCTACTTCTAACTTAAATACTAAGTTTTTTTCCAATGAACTAATGTTCATTATATGATAGCACTCCAGCCTTACTATATCCCTGCATGCCAATTGCTCCCTCTGCAGCTATTCAAAAATCTCAGTTCATTTATTTTTAAAAATAAATAAATCCCAGTCCCAATATCTTTAAGTACTTTCCACAATATAACCCATACTATTAAATATGTTACATAAAGGCAGCGCTGAGTTTTGGGTCACGCTTTTAGACTTTGACTCTGAAAGAAATACGAAACTCTTGGTCACTGCCCCAAATGCTTACCAAACCCCTTAAATCTCTAATCACTTAATACAGTTACCAAAGAAACCACAAGCCACCACACATTTGGAGACAAGAAAAACAAAAAACAAAAACGAAAAGTCAGGGGCATGTGCTCCTATAGGGTTTCATTAATCTGTCGATATCACATTGAGTATTGAACAAATCAACATTCATGGCTATAATATTGTTTGGAGCATTCTACACTATGTTACCCATTGCAATGCACACTCAAATATTCTCTCGAGTCTTGACTGAAAAGAAAGAAATTGCAAAGTCATTTGAGAACAGATCTGACAGATATATAGATCAAGAGGTCTAAAGAAAGAATCTGTAAAGGGGTCTAAAGTCCAAAAAACAAAAAGAACATAAAGTCTAAACGAGTAGACGTCTTACACTTCCAGAGATCCATTTCCTGACAACACAGCAAGATAGCCCATTCGATGCTTGCACTTGGAATCATGTTCACTAGGAGGACGCCATTTCACATCCCATGCAACCTTTCCATGGTGAGCTAGGCATAATACAATTCTTGGCAATGCTACATCCTCCGGAACTGAACACTTGGTTGAGCTAATTTTAGGGTAATCATTATCTTGAACATTATTACTTGTTTGAGGATCCTGTCCAGAACTCTGCTGTATATGATAATCTGAAACAAGTGGTCCGTTCTCTTCATTTTGATTCAACAATGGTGGACACATATAATTGTTATTACTCCCTGCGCTTTCCATATCATTCAACTTTCTCCTCCGAGCATATGATTTCAGAGTTGGATTACATTCAGATGCTGCATGTTTGTAATTTTTTCGTTTTTTATCATGCTCTTGGGTATTTGCAGGAACACAACCCGTTGAATGCAACTCCGGTGATCCCTCTGGATATTGAATGGAAAGAGCCTCAACAAAATTGCTGCTCCCATCCAAGTTGTCAACAGATTCTTCTATTGGTTTCTTTAAAGGTCTTCCTCTAGGCCTCTTTGGTCGAGTTGATTTTTCTTCTGTGGCATCTTTGTCAACAGATTCTTCAATTGGATTCTTTCTAGGTCTTCCTCTAGGCCTTTTTGGTTCAGTTGATTTTTCTTCTAATGGCTTCTTTCTAGGTCTTCCTATCGGTCTCTTTGGTTCTGTTGGATTTTCTTCTCTGGTTCCACTTTTTTTAGGCTCCCGCTTTGGCTTTTCCCCTATGGGATGACTGTTTTCCTCATTTACACCAACATTTAGAAGACACCATATCTGAATCGCACCTCTTCCAGTTAGTGGCTGGCCTAATTTGTGATAAGAAGATCCAGGAGGATGAGCAGCAATAGCAACAAACTGAAAAGTAGGATGATGATAACTTTGTCATAAAATAGTAGACTTCAATGACTCTAATATGGATGACACCTAATCATCAATAATACAAATGTCACCAACAGAACGTCGTAAACAAGCAAAAGTTATCACATCACATTTCCTCTGTATAATCACCCTTATGGATGTGTTTTTTTTTTTTTTCCCAAGGGAAATAATCGAGAAATTCAATGATAAGTTAAGGACTCACTTAGTTGTCTTGGCTCCTCGAAGCAGTAAGTCCTCACGATATATCCCTCAGTCTGTTTCGCAAAACTAGAATTGATGACATACTCTCTGTGTTTTATTTTGGCTTAAATGTCAAAATGGTCCTTGTGTTTTACCCTATCGGCCAATTTAGTCCCCGTGTTATCAATTTGGCTAATTTGATCCTTGTGTTTGTTTCCATTAGTCAATGTGGTCCTTCCGTTCAAATTTTGTTAAATCTATTAATTAAAAATTTTAAAAAATTATTCTCCCCTATTTCACGCTCAGACTACAACCTTCTCCCAAATCCAGAGCCACCCTCACTACCACCACTCCACCCCAACTCCACCTAAACCGCAACCACTCTCTCTGCAGCAAAAATCTAGGACATTCACATCAACACCACGTACAGTGCAAATTCCGTAGTCGTCGTTCGCACCTAGACCACCTTCGAACTCGATTGTCCCAACACCACTTGCACTTGCTTCGTCTAGGCATTGGTCAATCCAAGTCGACAATAGACACTAGAGTGAGCTGGTGGATCCCGGAAGTGGTCTTCTTGTGGTGGGCATGGTGATTGGTTGAGAAGGAAGAAGATAATGTTGATGTAGTCATTGAGCGATAGGGATCACTTGAGGGTGTCCTAAGTGTTTTTTGGCAGTCAATGAATTTGAGAGGAGAGAGATGATGGTGGGAGTACGAAAAAATCCAAGGCAGAAGAGCAAGAAAATAGTAGGCATTCAATAAACTAAAGAACTTCTTCTTTTTTTTTCTTTTTTTTTTTTCTTTTTTGCTACAGTACTCAAAAACGTTGGAAGAGGAGAGGTTAGGGTTTATTTAAGTTCTTTATTATTTGAATATGAATATATGTAATCATTACAATTTTTTTAATTGATTTGAATTGTTTTTTTCAATTTAACGGAATTTGGATGGAAGGATCACATTGGCTAATGGATACAAACACAAGGATTAAATTGGGCAAATTGATAACACGAGGACTAAATTGGCCGATAGGATAAAACACAAGGATCATTTTGATATTTAAGCCTTTTATTTTTGTCTGTTTTAACTTATTTCCCTGTTTATGCAGATTAATAGTTTCATGTTTTGTTTGTAAGGCTTCCATCTGAAGAGAAAAAAAAAACAGTAAAAAATTGTACAAAGCCCATTTGGTATGTAATTTGTCAACGACTGTTCGTGGGTTCATTCATGTACAAATTTTCTTGGCTCACTCTTCTTCGAAGTCAGTATTATATTGTTTTGTATGTTTTATTTATTTGCAGGTACTTGAGAGAAGATTCATCTGGGGTATTTTCTCTTTCTTAATGCTCTGTTGTGCATAAAACAAAATGACAGATGCAGCAAGATTGAAGTACACTACAGCCAAGGAGATTGTAGACTTATAGTTAGCTTTATATAGGAAGAGATACTACTTAAATTTGATCATACGATTGTTTTGACTTCTAAATTGATGAATTTTATTACATTCTTAAGTTGTAATTCGTTTTCATTTCTTTAGAAATATGTATGCTTTTCTTCTTTGGCAATATGTATGCCAAAAAATTGAAATTTAAACTTAAGTACTTATAGTGTGGAAACGTAGCGCCTAGGGACTAATTATAGTGCATACGGTTATACTAAATGAATGTGCTTGAGATGTGACTATGTAAGAAGATAGAAAAAAAAACGAAAAAAAAGAAAGTGAAACAATAAATCAATCATATGTGAGACAGAATGATAAGTACAATCGCAATAAATAATATAAGAAAATTTTACGTCGTGTGCAGGACGCATGATTAAAAAAAAACATCTGTGTTAAAGAAAATCATGTACCTCACATTTTGGATGATAGTCAGGACTTTGATGGACTCTAGGACACCAATCCAATGCCCAAACAGGCCCTCCAACATACATCACAAAGTCTTGGCTGCAAAAACATATAATGAACATTTGACGACACATATCAAAGCTTCTTTAGGTGGTAGGTGGAAATCCAATATACAAGGCTTTCATCGAGTTCAAGAATACATAAATCAGTACAAATGCCTTATTGCTAATGCCAATTAAAGTACCTCAACTCTGGAGATGATGTGTCCCCAGAAAGTGCCTCCTTCTGCATCAATATGAAAACCAACTAATTAAGATCAAATACCAATGATGCTTGTCATATGACAGCCATTAGAACAGTTCATTTTCTGTAAAACTACGACATGTAAACCGAACCAGAAATTCAGATTATAGATATAACCTTGGGAACTGTCGCAGAAGAATACTGACGCAAGGTTATCCCAGTGACAACATCTTTCCCATCAGGGCTTCCACCTCCACAAGCAAATCGAACATCTCTAGGTTCATATTTAAAATCTGCCCATTCCCTTCAACAAACGCATTCATAAGTTTCTGAAGTTCACAATTACAATGAGATACATAAAACCAACAATGCCAGTAAGAAATTAAACAACAAAATACAACGAAAAAAGACACATTTATTTTGTTTACCTTAAGAAAGTGATCGGGGACGATAAGCTTTGAATCTCACTGTCTTCGATTCGATGATCCTCCTCAGCCTCGCCACAGAGCTTGGCAATGGTGTCCATGACTCTGAAGTGATTCTCCACCGAGTCATCGAACATCGAAACACTAACCCTAGGACCATCCCTTGAGCTCTCTTCGTCATTCTGAACTGGCTCTGGCTCAATCCGAACTGGCTCTGGCTCAATTTGAACTGGCTCTGGCTCAATCTGAATTGGCTCTGGCTCAATCTGAATTGGCTCTGGCTCAATTTGAACTGGCTCTGGGGCAGCTTGAACTGGCTCTAGCTCTGTGTTATGATCCTTTGATGTTGTTGCTTTGCTTTTTCTCTTCGCCTTCGTTTTTTTCCCGCGTTTTCCATCCAAAAATGCCTTGAGTGGAGGTTCCACTCCCTCTTCCACTGCCTTATTCATACCTCTCTCCTCCTCTCCGAAAATTCTAATAAACATCAAAATGTATGGATAAATCAACTTTTGGACGGCGAGATTTGAATTATTTGATCTAACGGTACAGAATAAACTGTGAAAAAAAAAACCCAATAAAATCACCTAAAGAACTGGCAAAGCGGTTGCTGTGGGTTGCCTCTCAGAAATCACCGTCGTCTCCACAGCACCCAACCCCAAACAGCCGCTACTTACCTCACACAATCCAACGGCAGTGAACAATCCCGATGGCTAGAAAGAATAGTCATCAACTCTATGGTGGTTTTCTAGTGTTGTCGGCAAGTTCTGAGGGTTGGGCATCAATCATCAATTTCGAATTTGATTCCATCACCACCTGTTGCCACCATCCCCGTTGGATTGGACTCTCGTTGCTTCAATCGCCTCTGCCTTCCTTTGCGTCGTCTAAGTAAGTTCTAATTTAGCCGTAAAAATAATATTTGCCTGGTTGTTACGAAATTCCATCTTTCAGACCAAAAAAAAAAGAAAAAAGAAAGAAAATTTAGTGTAACATCAATAAATACCTCTTGAAATTCATAAAATATAAAGGGTCCTTATTTTCGGGCCGGGTAAATAGTTAGTTTAGCTTCTATTAGTTTTAGGCCCATGTTTCTATTTAGGCCCATGTCACCGACTTGGATGCGTTCGGTAACAGACCCAATCCAAGTCTCGAAACCTCCAAATCCAAAATTCACCAAAAAATCATCCTAATTCCAAAAAATTCACCAAAAAAATATTACAAACTCTCTGTAACATCCACTTTCATTCTATGATCTGAAATTCACAATTTGACAAAAATTGAAAATTGAAAACTGAAATCAGTTACCAAACAATTTTTGTTTAGTTTTCTCTTTTCACTTTTTTTGAAAACTGAAATGAGTTACCAAACAAGTTTTCAATTTTTAATTTTAAAAAAATGAAAAATGAAAACTAGAAATTGAAAACTAAAAATGAAAATCTGAAAACTGAAATGGTTATCAAACGGACCCTAAAAATATCAAGACAAATATTTCAACTTTAGCTTTTAGTTTTCATTTTTTGTGCTAGAATATAGGGGGAAAAAGGGGAATGAAAATGAGAATGAGGGTGAAGATGGGAGATTGAGAGGGAAAATGAGAGAGGGGATGGGAGGAATGAGTAACAAATGTGAAAATAAAAAATAAAAACTGAAATCTATTTGAAATTGTTTTCACTTTCAAGTTTTTGTTTTCACTTCTGTTACTCCTCCCTCCCATCATTCCCTCTAATCATCTCTCTATATCTCATCCTCACAGCCACTCCTCTATACTCTAGCATAAAAAGTGAAAACAAAAAAATAAAATTGAAATAGTTATCAAACTAGCACTAAATTTTTATTGCATATTTCTATTTAGGGGTATAATTGTAAAATTAAACAAAGTTTGTTTTCAATTCATGCATGCACCAAACATGAGAAATGAAATAAAATGATATTTCATAGGTATTTTATCAACATTATCAAACATGGGACATAAAATTCAAGTTGATTCAAAAGCCTATGTTCTGTTCCTCTATAAAGATGATTTGAGAGATCCCACCAAAAACAAAGGGATAAATATATATTCATTTTCTAATTATTAAGAACTTTAAATACATGATTTCGTGATCATAAGTGGAGCTTTGTCATGACAAATCAACTTCTTTATTGCCGGCCGAAGAGGCAACATAAAACAATGGGGTCATATCCTAGAGCTATAAAATCTGGTCACTAATTTCATGTTAGATCTGCTAAAATAAATAAATAAAATATCATGTTAGATCCTCTCAGTTATATATTAACCAATCTAGTTATAAATTACAAAATAACACTCGTGGGTTGGATAACATGGATTGGATTACACATTTTTATGGTTTGGTCAAATATCCTAAGATCGAACCACAACTAAAACCTCTGCATCCAATATATCAAATCGCACTGACAATTATATCAAAGATCCTAGAGCTGGGTACTAGCTAGGTATTTCATATTTCGATGACAACCGACGCTGCATTTTTACTATTTTGGCAGAACTTTTTAAGTTTTTCTTTAATGCAAAGCGATAGTACGATATTGATGTAACGAGAGCACAAAAACAAGGGAAAATAGCTATAGGCCAAGATAATTAAGCGAGTAATTCTACACAATTTGGTCGTCGAGCTAACCAAGTAGTTTACCTTCTTCCGCTAAGGCAGTAAAAATGAACCAAGCCCAATGATAGTCTATCAAAATTGATTACGTACAAAAGGAGAGGTAATTAAAGATGCCAATATTGCTGGCTGGTTGGATCCTATAGCTAGCTGTTGCTTGAGAAAGACAGAAAACTAAAGCCCTCGTGGTAGAAATCTAAGACATGCTGTCGTGGGAGCCACGTCACACACACGGGAAGACGTTGTGATGACAAGAACTTCGTACCTCTTTTTACTTTAAACTAGATTTTTGTTTGTTTCTTTGTTTTGTTTTCTGTTTTTAATGAATCGCTTCCATCAATCAAAAAGAGGAGGAGGAGGGCGCATCATGATCATAGGAAGAGGAGTAGGCTAAGTAGGCTCCTCCTCCATCCACATAATAAACTTGGCTATGGTCTACTACGACTATCCAATAGGCAACTGGATGGTAACTCCTTGTTTTTAAAAAATAATAATAATAAATGAATATGGCTTTTCCATCTTTACGAATTTTTTCTTTTTCTTTTTCTCTTTCTGACTCATCATCGTACAAATGATAAGTCTTATCCTCGTACAAATTATAGGTCTTGTAATTAACTGAATGCTAGAAGAATCACATTATCAAAAGTTAGTGAATTATCTTTTGTGTTAGGTATGATGAACTTTTATCACATCAATGTTTATTACAGTTTTTCAATGAACACATCGTCTACATAGGCGGTACACTAATATACTCTTAAAAGGTAGAATCTTAATTAGAAACATTAGTGTGCCATCTTATGTGTGATACCTCAATGGAAAATAGAATTACAATGTACCACACTTACTGATTATGTAAACGATATACATTAGTCTCTCATAAACATATGAGTTTAGTCACACCAATAAATTTTCCATGAATCTTGCTATAATGTGAAACTAGTGTGGCACAAATAGTTTTTATTTTATTTTTTGGGGTTTTGTAGAGAATGTGGTACCAACCGTTTTTTGAGCTTTTTTTTAAAAAAAATCCCTTTCATTTGATTAGTAAAGGTTGCTCATTATTCTCATATAATAAAAAGGTTGCTCATTATAAATCAAGAAACCCCACGTGCTTGAAGATTAATCTATGAGCGTCAAGCAAAAATTAAGTAGCACGCCACTAATAATTTAGTCAATACAAAAAATATAAGTGAATCTTAGATACATAATTGTACTTGTTTGTTCCACACATCCTTACATCCAAAAAAAAGTACACAAATTCTAGAGCTTTGTGTGTAATTAAACAAATAGATCTAAGAGATGATCAGCCCGAGCTAATTCTCCACCAACAATAATATATCCACTTGCACAGTGGGTCGAAAAAGGACACCACACACATGTGCCATCATTTTGTGTATACAAAAATATATAATTTTGGTACCGACGCCAACCAGACAATCTTGTTACATATGGTGCACATTTAATTTCAGCTGAGGTAGCTTAGGCCATGTCGTTTTCCTCTGTGTCACACTATCTCCTTGGTAGACCATACTTACACATATGCACCAAAAATTTGCATACGGTATGTAGCCTAGCAGATGTGACTCATGAGCACGATGGCTGTGTTTTCCTTTCTCTTACCAACACCGGAAGGCCACCGCTGAAGGTCGCGGTGAGCCCTGGAGAGAACCGTGGTACACGACCTAATTCATGTGCCACAGGATGAATACTGAACCGTCTGAGCAATGAAAGCGCCACGGTTTTCATCTCCATGAGAGCCATCTCTTTCCCCAAACAAACCCTAAGCCCCGGTTGGAAAACCGGGTACTTAAACGGGTCTTCTGTGAAGAAAACACTGTCCTTCAACCATCTCTCGGGCTTGAATTCCATGCAGTCGGATCCCCAAATATCCTGGATCCGACCCATTGCGTATGGATGGTAAGTAACCCTAGTCCCTTTCCTCACAAACGTGCCATCAGGCAAAACATCATCTTGTGCGCAAAACTTTGAGTCGAACTGTACAGGAGGGAAGAGCCTCATGCTCTCATAAATTGCTGCTTGTAAATAATGAAGCTCGTGCATTTGCTCAAAGTTCTTGAGGCCCTGGTTGGGTCCAAGAACCCTATCGGCCTCAACCCGAACTGCTGACGCAACGGTCGGGTGGGTGCCCATAAGCCAAAAGAAACTTGTCAAAGCAGACGCAACAGTGTCACGCCCTGCCAATAGAAAGCTTATTACAATGTCCCTCAGATACGTTTCGTCTTCCACACTTCTCATGAAACGTGACAAGAGATCTTTTTGTGTTGAAAACCCCGTTTCGCGCTTTCTAGCAATGACCTCTTTGGCCAAGAGGTCGATCATGTTAATAGATTCTTTTAATTGCTTCTCGCTCCCCAAATTAAATATTCTCTTGATCTTCCAAATCAAGGGAGACGCCGTCATGGCTCTCTTTGCGGACAGCTGCGAGGCCATGTCGAAGGCAACGGAGAATTTGGACAACGGCAGCGACAACTCTAGGCACATAGGATCCAACCCGAAAGAGAATTTGCATATGCTGTCGAACGAGAATCTCTTAAACACGTCTTGCAAATCGAGGACGCTTCCACCACCATCATCTGAAGAACTAAACGATGAAAGAAGAGGGATGAGACGGTGTTCGATCTCATGGCTGACAATCTCAAACGCGAAAGATCGAACGGAGTGCCTGTCGAGCTCGAGGCTGGCCATCTTTCTCTGAAACCTCCACGAGTGGCCATCCACGTTGAATATTCCCTGGCCAAGAAAGTCACCGAGGATGGTAGAGAAGGGCTTGCCTTTCGGGTAGTTTTCGAACCGAGTTTTGAGCATGTATTCGACGTTGTCAGGGTTGGCAGTGATGGTGTTTCTCAGAACATGTATGTGGATGGTTTTGGTCGGAGAGTCTCTAAGAAGATGCGCATACCAATCACAAAGGTTGTCGAATTTTAGAGACCAGCATGAGGTGACATAGGCGTGGCAAATTTCACAATTGCAGTACCAAAGCTTTGATCTGAGCATGAAAAAGCTGATAAAAAACAATACAAGAAAGCAAAGGAATTGCAAAACTTGTTCAAGCTCCATTGGAGATTGATAAAGATAAGAAGGAGGTGGAAGAGAAGAGAGATCATGAGAGCATGTTGCAGGGTCGTGTATATATATTTGTATTATTATATATGCGATTGTACGAGTTTTTTGTTTTTTTTGTTTAAATTTTTATCGGTTGGTACAGTGATTAATTTTTAGGTCAGTGGCTTTCTCTGTTTTTATATGTTTCCACTTGCAAACATAAATTATTGAATAATGTGGAAAGTGAGATAAAACAAGAACATGAAGAACCCGTGCGCCTAGAGGCATCTGCCATACAAACTTAATGAAAAATGTAGGCGTTCGCTCACATGGGTTTATTCTTATCTGTACGAAGTGGTCTGGGATCTTATGTTTAGTCTCTCTTGGAAGTTGGGTGGATATTTATTTGCACCCCTAGCTGGTCAAAAAACAACAGCAGCACCAGCTAAGTTATGGAGAAAGGACTAGTGTTTGGTATTGGTGCAACTATAACTCTGTTGTTACAGTCTCGATATTTTCCTAGAATTTTTTATATATTTTGTAATATTAAAAAAATACAGACAATGTATGTACTGTGTATTGTAGATTTATACCCGATACGAGTCAATCAGTTTCCCTATAAATTTATACTGAAACTAGACCAAGGTATTAGCAAGGTAGAAGGGTAAAGGGTGACGGGGAGAAAAGATGGGTGGAGCTGACAACCAAAAAGGGCGAGGGAGAAACCACAAGGTGTGGTGTGGTTCAATGGCAAACTGCCACCTCCAGCTGGCAAGCTATCCAGTGCCTCAATGGCAGGGGTTCGAAATCCGTTGGAAGCACTTTGTGGCCAGGGGCAAGCCGAACCCCAAGCGGGGATTAATCCCACCCTTTGGGTGTGGGGACACCTCGTGGTATTTAACCAAAATAAAAAAATAAAAAAAGGGCGAGGGAGGGAGAAAACATAGAGGAGGGGGTGGGGTTTGTGAATTTTTCTATTTTTCCTTTTATTTAAGTATGTGGAAGATGTTGAGAATATTCTACATTGAAGGATGAAATTCTAATAGATTATTATAAATAAACCCAACCCTAGACATGTATTTATAAAAAAACCCACACACTATTTAAACATAGAAACACACCCAAAATCAACAATTGTATATTTTTTGGGTGTGTTTATAAATGAATTTTGAGTGTGTGTAATGATGGATTTTGGGTGTGTTTATAAAGTGTTTTGGGTGTTGGGTTTTTTTATAATTTCAGCCCCCATTTTGGGTGTTTTAGTGAAACTTCCCAAATTCTAATTCTAATATGATATCATAGTACATTATCCGCAAAGAAGACTCAAAAATCCTATGTGCTCTAACGTCACTCAATAAGAATAGTAAGTACACTTGTGTTTCCATCGGGGTAGAGCATTAGAATGAGCCTCCATACATATTCATATATATAAAAATAATATAATTGGAATTTTAGTTTGTTTGTTGTATGAAATTAAAGAGAAGTTTTGGCGTATGAGATTAATTGGTTATTTGGCTGTTGGGTTGGTCCAAAAGATAGTTAGGCTTTGTTTCTCCTTTATAGAGGAGTACAACTACCAACAAAGACCCCTATCATGCATGACACTTGAAAAAGTTCATTACAAACACTTTTATAAAAAGCAGCTTTATCAAGTTGAGTATACATTTTCTTAATTAAACTAGAAAATAGTAAGATTGCTTTATTATCCGATGAACATGCCTGATTATTAAACTCAAGACCTACATGTTCTTTCCTTTTGTTTGGGAATAATATGTTGATTTTTTTTGTTTTTGTTTTATCACGCTCAGGATAACATGTGTTCATAAACTGAGGCACACCACAAGAAAAAATATCATAAAATCATTGGCCAAAATAATGTGTTAGGTGTGTTAGCGAGAGATATCCTATTCTATTAGGATATTATTTTATTTATTTCCTTTTATATAGATATTATGTAATTAGGATTCCACTTGTTTTC